GTTGCCAGGGAGAAGCCTGAAGTGCAGTAAAGAAGTAGCCTATTCAGATTATCTTCACCTTTAAAGGATCACTGTAGTGTCAGGAAAACAAAGCGGTTTTCCTGACACTATAGTGCCCTGAGGGTGCACCCACCCTCAGGGTCCCCCTCCCGTGGCGCTGAAGGGGTTAAAACCCCTTCAACCACTTACCTTATTCCAGCGCCGGGCTCCCTCGGCTCTGGTGACCTCTTCTCCCCCGCCGACGTCAGCTCCCCTGTCTGACGTCACTGGAGTCGAATGCGCATGCGTGGCAAGTGCCACGCGCGCATTCAAAGTGTCCATAGGAAAGCATTTCTCAATGCTTTCCTATGGATGCTCTGTGCGATGGAGGCATACGGAAGACAGCCACTAGAGGCTGGCTTAACCCCAAATGTAAACATAGCAGTTTGCATCTGAAGGGTTAAAACCTGAGGGACCTGGCACCCAGACCACTTCATTGAGCTGTAGTGGTCTGGGTGACTATAGTGTCCCTTTAACCCATGTAAAAATATGTTTATTTTTAACATTAGAGTGTTCCTTGCTCTAATTTTTTTTTTTTTTATGATTTATTTTTTTAACAGCATTCTGGACAAATAACAAGGAAAGACAAGGGAAGTTGAAATAGGGAAGTTGAAAAAAATTAATTACATTTGCAAATATTTGATGCAATGCAAAATCTTCAGAGTAGCTATCAAAATGCCAAAATAATTTGGTGTTAATTATAATACAATTGTGAACCAGTGGAATGGTGAAGCGCTTATATTAGAAATGAGTGATAATCTGTGCATTTCAGTGCAATAAGAAATTCTAGGTATAGTAGTATGTGTGTATACCTTTAGACTTTTTATCCTATATTAGGGTCCTAGTGGTAATGGTGTGTGGCAAAACTAGCCACTTAAGACTGTATGTTCATTAGACTAGTCAGCAGGTCTTAGCTTTAAGCCGACCAAGTGCGCTATGGCTAAGCAGGTACATATGTATTTATCTAAACACGCTTGGTACTTATGAGTGATAGGAGTTGTGTAGAGTTAGAGTCTCGAATGACTGTGGTAGAAAACAAGAGTGTAAAGGGTGTGTGTGTGGCATAATAGCACATACATTAACAACCTATGTGAGCAGTTCGTGTCACATCTTTGATCTGGAGAGTCTGCAGTGCCCTCCGAGGTGATAGGGCGGCCATCTTGGACACGCTCCGGCTGACTCATGTTTCGGTCAGTTGTGTAGATTCTCTCACTTGCTTTTGGCGTTATCCCGCCTGTCTAGTGGGGACCGGGATGTCCCCCACCGGTCGAGAGGGGGGTAGGAGGTCTGTAGTGCTTTTCTGGGGTGTCGAGGAGAGCGTCCGCCTCTCCCCGGCTCCAACTCTCGCAGGCCTCAAGTTGCGGTCTATGCGCCCCCACAGGTTCAAAAAGGTATCCCCCCGATTCCCTGGTGCACCCCCGACATGGGTGGTGCACCCTAGTGGGTCTCTGGGCAATATAGCCGCTGATATCGCCTTGTTTTTCTCTTGCCTGGCGTGAGCTCTTTCCACACGTGTCTAGTCAGCTTGGCGGTCAGACTCCGCCCCCATCTGGCCCTGTTTGTGAATGTAGTCTATGGTAAAATCATGAGGAAAAAATTCAAAAAAGTAATAAAAAGTGACAGACAGATTATTGTGGCATATAACAGAAAAGTGGTCTTTTTTTTTTTATTACCAGGATCCGCAGATACCAATTCCATTGTTTGAAAGGGCAGTCCTCCACTATCTCTGCTTTGGGTTGCAGATCCTACGTCCTAATCTGTGTGCTAAAATGTCTAAGACCATAAAGCAAAGCTTGACATTTGTTTTTTTTCAACCTTCGTGAATTGAGGAATATGGAGTTGTACAGCAAAAAGATTGTGCATTGTGTTGTGATAGTGTTGTTTGCTGAACATCAAGAGTTTAACCCCTTAACGCCGTTATGGCGTTCTATGTCGTCCCCATTTAAATGGGCTTTAAAGCCGTTGTGGCTTTCACCCCCAGGAGCTCGGCGGTACTCACCTCCGCCCGATCCTCTTCTGGAGGGTTGCCTGACAGCCCAGGCAGCCCTACCCCGGCAAATGAGGCCCCCGGGGGCCATGTGATCGCTCTTAAAGAGCGATCACATGGCCCCCTGTAGCTGGCTGTGGATCTGCCAGCAGGGGGACTGTCTGGAGTGTCAGACAGTTCACCTGCTGGTGGGAGGTGTAAAAAAAATTTAATTAAACATGTTAAGATAAAATAAAAGTATTTATATATATAGATAAAATATATATATATATATATATATATATATATTATATACGTATAATTACAATAGTAAATAAATAAAATAAAATATTTAAAAAAAAATTTAAATAAATTATAAATACATATGTAATCTCATTCTAACTGTATTTTGTTATTAATACATATATATTGGCAACAGAATACACTTAGAATCACATTCTATATATAAAATACAAATAACTGCAAATATTTATATATAGATAAATATATATAATTACATAAATAACTACATAAGTATACACGTAGAATTTAAATACATATATATGTATATATATAAAAATTCTACGTGAATGCTTAAGTAATATTTTAGCATAATTATGTGATTTAATTAATTCAAATTTGATTGACGTGCCTGACAACCCAGGCAGCAAGTGCAGAGAATTAAATTCGCACGCGCTATATTTAACCCTGTAACTTTCCAAGACACCATAAAACCTGTACATGGGGGTACTGTTTTACTCGGGAGACTTCGCTGAACACAAATATTAGTGTTTCAAAATGATAAATTGTATTACAACGATGATATATTTAGTAAAAGTGAGTTTTTTTGCATTTCTCACACACGAACAGCACTTTTACTGACGATATTATTGTTGTAATATGTTTTACTGTTTTGAAACACTTATGTTTTGTTCAGTGAAGTCTCCCAAGTATAACAGTACCCTCTATGTACAGGTTTTATGGTGTTTTGGAAAGTTAGAGAGTCAAATATAAGGCTTGCATTTAATTTTTTTCACATTGTAATTTGCCAGATTGGTTACGTTGCATTTGAGACTGTATGGTAGCCCAGGAATGAGAATTACGCCCATGATGGCATACCATTTGAAAAAGTAGACAACCCAAGGTATTGCAAGTGGGGTATGTCCAGTCATTTTTAGTAGCAACTTAGTCACAAACACTGGCCAAATATTATTTTTTTTGCTTTTTTCACACACAAACAAATATGAACGCTAACTTTGGTCAGTGTTTGTGACTAAGTGGCTACTATAAAAGACTGGACATACCCCACTTGCAATACTTGTGTTGTCTACTTTTGCAAATGGTATGCCATCATGGGGGTAAATCTCATTCCTGGGCTATCACACGGTCTCAAAGGCAACATAACCAACCTGGCGAATTTAAATTTGAAAAAACTGAAAAATGGAATGTGCTATATTTGACCCTTTAACTTTCCAAAACACCTTAAAAACTGTTAATGGGACTTTGAGACTTTGCTGAATCCAAATATGTGGTTTATTTGCAGTTAAAGCTAATTGTATTATGACATTTACAGCTAAAATTACTACAAATATTTTTTTAAATCTTAATTTCTCACAGTTTTTTAAATTTTATTCATAATAAATTATGTTTCAAATATGAATAGTTCATGAGAAATTAAAGCCCAGTTTCTCCTGAACAAAATGATATATAATAAGTGTGGGTGCACTTAATATGAAAGAGGTGAATTATGGTTGAACAGACACATAGCGCAAATTCCAGGTTTTGTTTACATTTTGTTTTGATCAGAACGTGTACTATTGGCTCCTTCCTGAAGGGGGTTAAAGACATTTTAAATAATGAATCATCATTCAAATATGTGGCGGAAAAAAATGGAAACCATAAAACTAGAAATTTTTGGAAATAAAGTATATTCAGTCAAATAAGAATAAAGCTACTTACTGCTAAAACAGCTACTAGATGCGCTTTCGGGTACTTAGCAGACTTTAGGACCACTAAATGATGCTTGATGTCCTTACGCTCTGCATGAGGACATCAAGCATCAGTTAAAACCCCATAGGAAAGCAATGATTTCATGCTTTCGTATGGGGAAGTCCTAATGCCCTTGACCTTGCCATGCAATGCCCTTGCCATGCATTAGGTTCCCCCCGTCGGTTGATTTTAGTGGAGGAGGAGCGGAGGCAGAGCCAGACCCAGCACAGAGGGACATCAGGTAAGTTTTAACCTCTTATTGACTGCAGGGGGTTGCCGTGAAGTGGAAGGGAAGAGCACTATAGTGCTAGGAATACAACTTTGAGAAATCCCTCAAAACCCATCTCTTCAGGAAAGCTTATGGCCTCCCAGAACAACTTCTATATCACAAACTTGCTGTTTCCTAAAGGGCCACACTCCACTCTCAACTCCAATTCTGCTACTTTCCCGCTTTTCTGTGTGGTTGCTGTCCACACGATAACCTTCCTATAGTGTTTTGATACCCCACCTCCTCTAGGCTGTAAGCTCATTTGAGCATGGTCCCCATCAACCTATTATTCCTGTAACATTTTGTAAATATCTCATTTATTGTTACATTTTGATAATATTGTAAAGTGCTGCAGAATAAGTTGGCACTATATATATGCCAAAAAATTATAATAATTATACATGGAGTTTTAAAATTGCTCAGTGTTTAGTGAGAAAAGGCAAGCCTTTCCTGGATGGTGATTATTGTGTATTAGTGAAGCCCTTGTAAACAGTGCTGAGGTTTTATTAGGTGATTTGCTTAATAAAGATACAGTATTATCCTGGATAAAATACATACTGTATCTGTGAGAATAATTGAAAGTCATGTAACTGAAATGATCGACAATATAAATGACAACTAGACAAGATTATAATGTCTTTAGTGTTGCTGTGGATGAAATTGTTCATGTAAATTACATGGCTTGTTATTTACATTACTGGAAGAATTGAAGAGTTCAATTTCAGATCTTACGCTGTATAATAATATTCCTTGGCTCAGTTGTGGCCAGGTACTGAATAGATTTGTAGCATGCTTGGGGGAGAATCAAGATTTTTTTACCAGTGAAAAAGGTCACAACTTTCCAGAGCTATAACAACTGGCTTTGCAAAGACAGGACAGAAGGACAGAAGTTTGTTGCTTTGTCTTGTTTGTATTTATGTTTTACAAATATTTTCAGTACGTTTAAATGTAATTTGAAATGACATTAAAGATAAAAAGACAAATCAGTATGATGCATTTAGAAACATAGAAACATAGAATGTGACGGCAGATAAGAACCATTCGGCCCATCTAGTCTGCCCAATTTTCTAAATACTTTCATTAGTCCCTAGCCTTATCTTATAGTTAGGATAGCCTTATGCCTATCCCACACATGCTTAAACTCCTTTACTGTGTTAACCTCTACCACTTCAGCTGGAAGGCTATTCCATGCATCCACTACCCTCTCAGTAGAGTAATACTTCCTGATATTATTTTTAAACCTTTGTCCCTCTAATTTAAGACTATGTCCTCTTGTTGTGGTAGTTTTTCTTCTTTTAAATATAGTCTCCTCCTTTACTGTGTTGATTCCCTTTATATATTTAAATGTTTCTATCATATCCCCCCTGTCTCGTCTTTCCTCCAAGCTATACATGTTAAGATCCTTTAACCTTTCCTGGTAAGTTTTATCCGCAATCCATGAACCAGCTTAGTAGCCCTACTCTGAACCCTCTCTAAGGTATCAATATCCTTCTGAAATACGGTCTCCAGTACTGTGTACAATACTCGAAGTGAGGTCTCACCAGTGTTCTGTACAATGGTATGAGCACTTCCCTCTTTCTACTGCTAATACCTCTCCCTATACAACCAAGCATTCTGCTAGCATTTCCTGCTGCTCTATTACATTGTCTGCCTACCTTTATGCCATCAGAAATAATCACCCCTAAATCCCTTTCCTCAATTGTTGAGATTAGGACTCTATCAAATATTCTGTACTCTGCCCTTGGGTTTTTACGTCCAAGATGCATTATCTTGCACTTATCCACATTAAATGTCAGTTGCCACAATTCTGACAATTTTTCTAGTTTACCTAAATAATTTGCCATTTGGCTTATCCCTCCTGGAACATCAACCTGGAACATCAACCCTGTATCTTAGTATCATCAGCAAAAAGACATACCTTACCATCAAGACCTTCTGCAATATCACTAATAAAAATATTAAAGAGAATGGGTCTAAGTACAGATCCCTGAGGTACCCCACTGGTGACAAGTCCAAGCTTCGAATATATTCCATTAACTACAACCCTCTGTTGCCTGTCACTCAGCCACTCCCTTACCCATTCAACAATATTGGAATCCAAACTTAAAGATTACAATTTATTGATAAGCCTTCTATGTGCAACAGTGCCAAAAGCCTTACTGTAATCTAGGTAAGCAATGTCTACTGCACCACCCTGATCTATAATTTTAGTTACCCAATCAAAAAAATCAATAAGATTAGTTTGGCATGATCTCCCTGAAGTAAACCCATGTTGTCTCTGATCTTGAAATCCACGTGTTTTTAGATGTTCATCAATCCTATCCTTTAACATGGTTTCCATCACTTTCCCCACTACTGAAGTAAGGCTTACTAGCCTATAGTTGCCCGACTCCTCCCTATTACCTTTCTTGTGAATGGGCACAACATTCGCTAACTTCCAATCTTCTGGGACTACTCCTGTTAACAATGATTGGTTAAATAAATCTGTAAATGATTTTGCTAGTACACCACTAAGCTCTTTTAATAGATTTGGGTGTATTGTCCCATTGACTTATTTGTCTTTACTTTTGACAGTTGAAATAGAACCTCTTCCTCTGTAAACTCACGTGTATGACTCATTTATCATTTTTCTCAACTGAGGTCCTTTTCCTTCATTTGTCATATTAACTGCCTCTAAAACTGATCTTCTTTCAAAATGCACATAACTCATTTCTATTTGTTATTGATAAAATAGTAACCCTCTTAACCATTTGTACCTCTTTGAAAATAGTGCTGGCAGACCAAGGAGCAAGTTCTCCTTTGGCACAACACTGACTGAAGGGTGCCTTCTCTCTTCTAGACACTGCATTAAGCATGGTCACTATAAGGTTTGGTAAATCACTTCTATCCTTATTCCGTTCTTTGTTAAGAAGGTAAGCTGTAAACCCTAGTTGCAGTAATTATAAGTAATCCTGACAACAAACAAATTTATGCAAAAGAAAACAAACATTTAACAAAATTAGTACAGGTATAAGTCTTGTGTATCTTTACAAGGTTAACATTTTAATTAATTAAGTAATTTAGACTGATCAGTCCCAACATTAAAACCCCCTTTATTGTATAGGTTTCCCTTTTGCTACCAAGACAGCTCTGATGCATTGAGGTATGGACTCCACAAACCTCTCTATGGATCCTGTGGGATCTGGCACACAGACATTACCAGCAGATCCTTTAAGTCCTGCAGTGTTCTGCGAAGTGGGATTTCCATGAATAGGATTTGTTGGTCCAGCACATTCAACAGATGCTCAATCATATTGAGATCTGGGGAATTTGGAGGCCAGGGAACACCTTTGTCATGTTCCTCAAACCTTTCCTGAATAATTGTTGCAGTGGCAGGGTGCATTAACCTGCTGAAAGAAGCCATTACCATAAAGAGACACCATTGCCATTAAGGGGTGTACATGGTCTGCAACAATCTCTAGGTAGGTGGTATGTGTCAAAGTAACATCCACATTATGTTAGGACCCTAGGTTTCCCATCAGAACACCACCCAGAGAATAATAGTGATAGCCAGTACAAAGCATATAATTAACCACTTTGACCTATAACACGTATTAACACAAACATGCCTTTAATATAAGATTTATTTGATAAGAAGCTTTACTGTTCATTTAAAAATTGTTTTTTTAAGAAATAAAGTTCAGCATTGTTGTTTCTATGAAATTGAATACTCTTCAATAATATCATAATGGAGTCTTAAAAAAAGGAAAATAAACACAATCTGATTAATAAATAAATACATAATTGACCCTACTTGGACTGCACTTTACTTAATATATGTAGTTTGTTTGGACAAGTAATCATGTAAAAATGTTTTGTATAACTTAATAATAACATAAATTATAGAACAAGGTTCCAGGGAAAATAGGCTAAAAAATGAGACTACAGATAATTTTGGACACAGCATATTGACTCAAACACAAATGATTGAGGGGTGTATACAGAAAAAGGGGAAAAAAAGCAATAGAAAAATATATGTATACTAATATATATTTATATATAAAGATATATTATATTAAAAGTAAACATTGTCATTTGTATAGCATAATACATGTTGCAGTTTACTTCAAGGCTAGGCAAATGCAGTGCTGCAGGTTTTTCTCTATGCCATGTCTCATTCCTTCCATTAGGCTGGGAGGACAGAGAGAGGGCTACATTTGCCATTCCTGCCATACGTGTTTCTGTTTTCCTTTTTTTTCATTCTGCAAGGGATCAGATGCTGCATAAAGAAATACATGTCTTTCCTGTGGGATCAAAGGGCTAGGGTCGACAATGAGATGGATCTAGTAAAAAAAGCAAAACAATTAACCTCTGGCTTATTCGGTATCTAATGGATTGTATAAACTGAACTATTGCTGAGTTGGAGATCTTTTCCAAATAATTTGCTTTGGTAGAAATATTGTCATTTGTTTTCAGTTCACTACATATCTTGGTGAACAAACACCCATTGATTTCCAAAAGAGATTGCAAGCTCTTTGGGCAAAACAAGGAACTAAAACAGAGCTAAGATAACGGGACTGACTCATTAACGGGTCGCAGTTATGGAAAAATTGCACTACATGACTATAGGAATTAAATTGCTTGTACACTCTATCTTTCTACATTACAAATGTTCTCCACAAAAGCATACCCCCAACATTTCAAGTGGACAAAGAGGGTGTAAATGGGTGTGTGGCCAAAGCCGTGACTGTTCTAAGGAACTTTAGGTGACTTATTAATAACAAATTATCAAAGTAAAATGTAATTTAGAACAAGAACAATGTATGGTATTTACACAGGATAGAAAGAATAGAAGAGAGGGTCAGATGGATTTGGGAGGAAGATAGGGCATGCCCCTCCTAAATAGGGACACTTGGGAGGTATGCTAGTTCTGGAAACACTGAAAACAAACTCTGTGAATTGCTCAAGTATAGTAATCATAAAAATACACATTCCACTCTGTTATTTAATACTAAAATATTCAACAATTGAAGTAAAGTTAGAGAGAGTTTCAAATTGTAGGCTAAACAAACACAAAGCAGACTTAGAGACTTCTTCCAAAGTAGCTATTGGAACATGACCTAAAGCAGGCTCACCTGTTCTCAAGCAGGAATAGCATTACATCAAGCGTAGGAGTCTTAGATCATTAAGTACTTTATCGCGAGAACATTGCATTTACAACCAGATTAAATAACAACCTTATGGTTAAATGATCCAATATGTTTAAAAAGATTGCCTTTATATTAAGAGCAACTACCAGTACATTTCTTAATAGTACAATGGAAAAATGCATGTTAGGTCCATCATCAAACATATTTGGGGCATTTTGTAAAATGTTGTTTATTCAATAGAACCAAATTTGGGAAATGTAAGCCAAAAAAAGCAAAGTTAAAGATAATTTTTTACACTCCGCTTTTGTGGTATACAGATAACAAATTATATTTGTCAGTTCATCAGAAATAGCTTTTTACAGATAAATGCATGTGTTCCACTACAAATAAGTAGTACTAGAAGTAAAATCATTAATGCTACTGCTTAAACAGCACCTACTGGGAGACTAACAACACTGCAGTTTTTCCATGATGTGTGCTTTAGAAGATGTGTGCCTGAAATGATTTAGTGGTCTGTCCCCTCCAAGTGATTCATTATTATTTATACTGTGGATCTATTTTCATGATTTATAATGGGAATCGGGATTCAGGAATCTCTGTGGATGATTCTTATTTAAAAGTACCTGTGTTAATAATACAGACATAGGCCTTGATTTAATTAGTCTAAATCAGTATCAGTAATTATTCCAATCTGTTAGAATTTTATTTTTAATTTAATTAGATTTAGTTAGAAAAATCCCCAAATACTTTAATGGAGATTTCTGTAAATAAACAATTTTAAAATTTTTTTACAACACATTGAAATAATTTCTGATCCTGATTCAAAC